GCAATCGCGGCGGTCGTGTCGGGAGGATCTCCAGCGTGTTTAGACTGGGCAGTCTCCTCATACCTTTTGTGGCCGCCTTGCCTTGGCTTCTTTGTAGAATGCCTGGTGGAGCCAAACGGCAAGGCGGAGGCGGTGGCAGGGGCGGCATCGCATCCCGCCGGCCACCTTCTTGGTCATCTGGACGGAAATCAGTCTACCCTACCCGTTCCGCCACTGGGTACAGGACCTGCTGGCCCGGAGCGTACTCGCCACCGACATGGACAGCGTTCAGCAGTGTTCTGCCGTATCCTGAAACTCGGCGGCGCTGCTCGCGAGCTCCCGCGTTACATGAGCTTCACGGAGATGGCAGAAGGGGGAGTTGCCAACGGACAACAGGAAAGTGCCGTCACCTACCTCATCGCGAACCTTATTGCGAGCCTCGCGGCCCACTCTGGACCACATGGTGAACAGTCACGCCTGCAGGCTGCCCGTGATCTCTTCGAGCTCACAAGGCGACGCAACGAGACCACCGATGCGCTGCTTTCGCGGCTCCTCGCAATGCGATTCCGAGGAACGCACAACGGCGGAGCTGCGATGCCACGGGAAAGATGCAGCTGGCTGCTCCGAGCGGTTGGCGTCACCGCCAGCGAAATCATGACGCTGCCTCAGCCCTGCGGCAACCCGTATCCAGCAACAGAGCCTGAGTTCAACAGTCACACGATTTTGTTCAGGCGTGTTGGTCACATCGTGGAACCGTTCACCGTTTACTGCCATCCGTCGGAGGCTTTGTAGGCATGATCAACAACAAAAAACAACGACGGACCCGCTGCAGACCGTTGGCATTCACAAGGTCTTGACACTTGGGGCTACTAGCGCTGCCGAACTCCCAGGTGCTGGAGGTTCCCTCGCGTGCGCCGGCCGCTGTCAGCCGAGCGCCGCGCCGCCGCGGGTCGCGCATCCTGCCGCCGCGTGGCCCTCGCTGATGAAGTGCAGGCCTACCTCGTATACGCTAGTGGTACCCGTTCTTGCGCCAGCTCAGACCATGGGGTCGCTGCCGACTAGTCATCGGATCAGTGCAGAGCCTTATCCCCATCTCAGATCGACGCCCAGCTGGTCTCGCAGATGTAGCATCGCAAGTGTCGGTGGCAGCGCCGTATGAAAAAAGCCCACGAGGAACCAGGAGACTAATCAAGAATAACGCACGTTCGCTCTCACGCAAGGGTGCGCGCAAAATCAGGGGAGCTTAGAAGTGCCGCTTTTTCGCCCAGCTGGCCGACGGCCAGGTCGACGCCGTCTTCCACGGAGGCTGAGGTAGAAGTACAGGTGAGCGTGCCAGTGGCACAGGCGAGAGTCGCAAGGAGAGACCTCAGGGGTACGGCGGGGCCGTGACGATTCGCGGCATTTGCGTGGCTGAGTGCCCGAAGGCCAGCTCTGGAAGCTCAGGCGCCCAAGGAGGTGGCCCGAGTTTCGGAGATTGCGCCGGCTCGGGGCCTACCGGTGGCGCCCTGGATGCCGGGCTTCTTGTCGGCATCTCAGGGGTCGCCTTCGTGGTCGCCGAATCTCGGGCGCAGGGGCGGCCGGGGCTCGCCTTCTCTGCGTTGCAGCCTACTGCCGAGGGCTCCTGGCAGATGCCCGAGTCTATCCGCGGCCCCGTGGTCTGCTGCGACGCTGGCCGCAGTCCAGGGCCACGCGTGCCGCGTGGGGCCCGCCGTGCTACCTGCGCCTTAGATGTTCAACAGTGCCGCGCCGTGCGCAGGACTGCAACTCCAGCTGCTGCCGCTGGTCCTTGTCGCGGCCTCCGCAAGCGTGGGGGCCCCCGCTCACCCGTCGGAACAATTCGCAGCCCCCTGCGACCAGGGAGTCGATGCTTCGCGCGTCGGCGGAGTCAGCCAGCCCCGGCTGGACCAGCTTGGGCAAGCCGCCGCGCCTGTCTGTTTGCAGCGCCGTGGCGTTGCGCACTTCGCCGAGGTGCCGACCGAGGCCATCAGAGCCAATGTTGCACGCGACTCAGTTCCTCAGATCACGGTGCGAGTCATTGCCGTCGCTAGCTTTGAGACAGAGCGCGACGCTCAAACTGAGCAGCGCCGCGCTCGCCGCCGTGAGCGGGCCCATCAGATGATCGACCTTGTCTTGCCGAGCGCGTTCCACTACTCGCAAAGTGCTTGCGCGCAAACGTCCGAAGACACAAACAGATCTCCTTCTACTTGCTGGATCGTAGTCCGTCGTGGCGTATCCATGCCATTCGCGAGTAGTTTCTTTTCGAGTCGTGGAATGCGCTTGTCCATAGTCATGGCTGGATCGCCGACAGCAGCCCCGTCACCTCTGCCCGAGGAGGCTACGAGCCGAATCAGAAGCCGCTGTCGTGGAGGTGGATGGAGATGCGCTGTTTCGCATCTGGATGAGTGCACCAATTTGGATATGTGTTATCCCTCGGTGTGGCTATGGGGCTCATCGGGGCTGTGCCGACGCCTGGGCCTCGCCGACTCAGCTCAGGGCTGTCGAGGCCCAACTTCGAGGCGACCAGGCGCGAGCGCCTTTCTCGCGATGCCCCGCGTGCAGGCAGCAGCTGGTGGCGTAGGGGGTCACGTGCGTCCGCGTTGCTCGCGCGCCCCCTTTCAGCGACAGCTGCGGACGAGGCGCCGACTGCATCTCGAGGGGCTCAAATGCAAGAAATCATTTCCAGCGCGCCAGCATCCGCGCGGGGACAGCCGTAGCCGCTAGGCTCGCCACAGGAAGGTGGGACCGATGTGCCAACGTACCCCTGGTTGCCCTCCAGAAGTGCCAGCGACGATGCGCTGCCCAGGTGCGCCGCATCTAGTCCCAGCTAGCCGCGGGTGAGGTCAGTGTGATCGTTGACCCAGGTGCGTGGGCCACCTTCATGGGAGAGACGCTCGCGCGTCAGCTGTGCCGACGTGCCGTCGAAGCAGGGCGCCGGCCAGGGGTGGTCTCCATGAGCGAGCTATCGAGCACCCAAGGTGTCGGCGACGGGATTCGAGAGCATCCGCTGCAACTGCCGCGTGAGCATGGCTCTCCAGGGGCCCCTGGCGCGCTTTGTTCCCTTCAGCGACGGGTGCGCGGGCGTGCAGCTGCGCGTCGCGTTCGGCCACGAGGTGCGCGTGGCGCGTGGGCCCCGTCGACCCTGATGCGCGGCCGAGCGAGGGCCTCAAATTTCATCCGCAGGTGATGGTCTGTTCGGACAGCGCCTGGCGGCGCGCTGGGCCCACTCGTTGGCCCGTGAGTGCCACTCTGCATGCCGCGTGCGCTGGCGGCTCGTGGCCGGTCTTCCTGGCCCGGCGTCGGTGGAGATCCCCGGCTGGCTTCGGATCCCCAGGTCGCGGTCGATCGCGTGAGCCGTGGAGCAAGTTGTCGCAGCCAGCTAGCCCCGCGCCAGGGGCCGCGTCGCTGCTGCCGCCAGGTCCGCCTTTAGGCTTCGCCGCGCCAGCGCCTGGACATCAGGGCGTTGCCGCGCGCTCGCAGCGCCCCAGCGACTGCTGCCGGGACTTGCGAGCGGACGCCGCCTCCCTGCTTCAGGCGTGCCGCTCAGAGCTGGGCGCCATAGGCAGCTTCGGCCAGGCGTGGTGCCAGCGGGCCAAGTTCGGCAAGAAGGGCGGCGCGGGCAGCAATGGCAGCAAGGCCGGCAAGGGCAGCGTGGACAAGGACCAGGACATCGAGGTGCCCGCGGCCAGGCTGGCGAGGGCCCCCAAGAAGACTCGCCACGGAGGTCTCACAAGACGGACCAACTGTGCGCTGTTTTGCATCAGAAGACGAGAAGCTAATACTAATACTAGTAATAATATTACTAGTAATACTACTACTAAGAAGACGAATCCATAAGTAGGACGAAGAATAACAGTAGTAATACTTAAGATACTGCTAACACCAAAGCGAATTTCACACATGAAGCCATCATAATGGTAACAGAAGAAGACACATAAACCAATGGGCAGGCAGCGCCAGAAGAGGGCGAGGAGGAGGCGCCGCCCACCTCGGACGAGGTCGCCGTGGGGTTCTCAGCGGCCGCCAGCGCGGAGGCCAGAGAAGAGCCCGAACCTTGCGCCGACGAGAGTTCGACGGACAAGAAATGAGTGGTGAGGCGCCGTGCGATGCATCCGCGTCCGCATGCCCCCAAGGTGACTCCCGCCTGCCTCCCCGCTCCGTTCTACCAGTTCAAGGCGCGCCTTCCACGTCCTCGCCTCGACGGGGCCTTGTGTTAAGTCGGGCCTGTCCCTCTTAAGGGGGTTTATACATAGCCAACACATATTCAGGGGCCTATTTTTTGAATTTGTTTGACCATTCATATATATATATATATATATTTATATATATATATGTGTGTATATATATATATACATTCGTCGAAATCCCCCTGTAGTGGGACACGCCCGACTTAAGGCTTGTGCCATATCTCGCCGAGCCTGGTCTCCAGGTTTGGCTTTCGGTCACCCTGACCACGGCGCAAGGCCTTCACACACCGACAAGGCACGCGCCTGGTTGCCTCGCATTTGATCAGGTGAGCTGCCGTGTGTCGTTCGAAGGAGCATGGGTGTGCTCGCTGAGTACAGTCAGTGGGCACGCACTCCGCCGACCCAGCGCCCCTCCCAGGGGGCGGGTGGGTATCCTAAACGGGTTGAGAAGGTGCGCGGGGGTTGGACAGGTCTGGCTTTTCCGTTCTCTTGGTTCCTTTGATCCGCCAGAGCTGTTCGTTCGATCGGCCGCACAATCCCGAATCGAATAGGAAACTCGTTTGCCACCTGGCTCAAGCACCGTCGCGAACGAATATTGGATTCAGGTGGTTTTGGATACAGATGGAAACGGTCCGTTTACACAGTATACTCGCCATGTTTTTTTTTCTCCCCTCCAACCTTCGCAATTTCAGCCCTCCTCCTCCTCCTCCTCCTCCTCCTCCTTTCTGTGTTATTCTTCCTCTCCGTCGTCCGCCTCCTCCTCCTCTTCCTCGTCCTCCTCCTCCTCCTCCTCCTCCTTTCTTGTAGCGTTCCCTCGTTCACACTGCTGGTCGCCAGGTCGGCGCCCTGTTTCCCCTGCTGTGCGGCGTCACCCTCGCCGCGGAGGAG